AGGAGGGGGTTGATTGATATGGTGTGCTTAGCTGGACTGTAATAGACAGTGGAAGGAGGGAGGTGTGTGTGGTTGTGTGCACTCTCTGGCTGCTGGACATTTCGGACTACACTATAACATAGTTAGGTTGAAAACAGAAGACTCAAAATCACTCATTGGCCAGAAGACTTTAAATGACTCATCCGTCAAACTGTGCCTGGGGTCCCGTTGTTTTGTTGTAGTTTTATGGAGTTTTTTTCCCCTTCTTTTGTCTTTGTAAGATATACCTTGAACTACTGAGGCTGGTCCCGATGAATTCGAGCTATCCATGTTATACTGTATATAGTTGTGTGATCCATGGACTTTCTCTCTCTCCCCGCAGCACATGGAGCGCGGCAACAAGCTAGTGTTGGAGCAGGTCATCACCACGCTGGCCTCCGTCGCTGACACGGCACAGGACAAGTTCTTACAGTATTACGACAGGTGGGTGTGTCTCAGGGTCGTCTTACACAGACCTGCCACTCATCCCGATTTAGTCAGGATATCCCGATTTTTTGCCCCAAATCTCAAGCATCCTGATTTTCCCGATTTCGATCGCGTGTATCCCGATTTTTTGTCCCAGTCTGCTGTTCTGCCGTATTTTTCTAAAAACTTACTCTGCCTTTTCCTTTATCGTGGGAAGCACCCGTTGAACTTTTTTTCAGTATAAACTCGGAGCACTATTTCCCGAAATATCGATGCCACATTTAGTAGTTGACTCGCCCTAAGTTGTGTGTGATTTTTGCCCGCACTCAGAATTCTCCGACGATAGCCTGGTAACTGTGACAATTTGGGACATACAAATAATTGATAATATTCGTAGTTCCGCTGTTACTTTCAAAACAAGCCTTGTCCGGGGTCTAGTAACTGCGTGTTCACACCAAACACTTGTACGAGCGACAGTCTTTCTAACCCTTACACAACTGCATATAACTGCGCTGACAAGACTAACATACGGCCGTTGTCGTTGCTTTAGTCTGAACGCATTATGAGGGATAAAAGATTTGTCGGTACAATTGGTCGGTCGGCCGCCGTTGTTATCCTAGAGTACTAGATCTAGAAGTAGAACGACTGTCGCTCATCTGAGTGTTTTGTGTGAACGCGCAGTTAGTCGGAACCGTTAGTAAAATTGTTTTAATCGCGCATTCGCGTCACGTGACATATCATCGCCGTGTGAGTTCTGCGGGTCGGGGGCCATCCGTTGGTGGGGTCAACTTAAGTTCATGTATTTCGGGGGGGGGTATAGACACTTGGACTAGGAGTGATTGAAGTGATGCTTCCGGATTTACAAAAAATAATAAGTGGCACACACACGCGCACGCAAACAAACAAAGACACTCAGAGTGCATATAGGCCAAGTAATTTATGGACACCCCTGGAAAAATATTAAGTCAGCTTTGGCAGTCACCTTTGTGATTTGCTGTTGATCCCGATTTTTTTGACCAAATCCCGATTTTTCTCCCTGATATCCTGATTTTGAGGTTTCATAGAGTGGCAGGTCTGCTTACAGTACTCCACCAGCGAAGACACATTTCTTTTTTCTTTTACATTTTCTCATTTGTCCTGGTTTCCTGATCTCTACTCTGATCCTCCTGTTGTGTCATCCTCTCCTCTCCGCCCCCCCCATGGTTGTACACTCTATTCGATATGTGAATTCCTTCACCTGTACCAATCCCTGTGCGTTGTGCTTCCTGTAAAGATCTATGCAGTTGCGAGCGCTGTAAAACTACTAAACTAAAAATTAATTCCTTCACCTTTGCTAATCCGTGCTCATTTGTGCTCCCTGTACAGATTTATGCCGAGCCTGAAGTACATCATGCAGCACGTGCAGGATCCGAACCACCGCCTGTTGAGGGGCAAGACGATCGAGTGCATCAGTCTGATGGGTTTGGCAGTGGGCAAGGAGAAGTTCATGCAGGACTGCAACGACGTGATGCAACTGTTGCTGAAGACACAAACAGACCAGGAGGACTTGGCCGACGATGACCCTCAGGTGAACAATGAGAGTGTCTGTCTGTGTGTAAGTGTGTGTGTGTGTGTAGAGGTGGCGGCAAGGAGAAGTTCATGCAGGACTGTAATGACGTGATGCAACTGTTGCTGAAGACTCAGACAGACCAGGAGGACTTGGCAAGGAGGGTGTCTGTCTGTGTGTGTGTGTGTGAGGGGGCAAGAAAATATTCATGCAGGACTGTAAGGACGTGATGCAACTGTTCCTAATCCTTACTTTCTTCATTTTCCCTCTACTTTTGTATGTTTGTCACTCTCTTGTGAACTGCTATTTCCGGGGTGCCTTGATAGTCGAAGCAGACTTTGTGCTGTTGTGGCTAGAGAGGTGAGCAGAGTAAGCCTGATTCCCCGTTTGGACTTCTCTGTTGACATCCACCCCTTGACGCTCATATGACTTTATGCAGTTGCGAGTGCCATAAAACCTTACTAAAACTAATTTTTTCATTTTCTCTCTCTTTCTCTCGTCAGGTGTCCTACATGATCTCGGCCTGGGCTCGTATGTGTAAGATTCTGGGCAAGGAGTTCCAACAGTACCTGCCTCTGGTGATGGGACCCGTGCTGAAGGCCGCTTCTCTCAAGCCAGAGGTCGCGCTCATTGACAGTAAGTCGCTGCTGGTTGGCTGTTGTATTCGTGGGTGGTTGGCGAGTGCTCTGGTGTGGTTTGCTCCTTCTTTCCTGTCAAACATCTGTCGTCCTTATCTCCGCTCCTTCTATTTTGAGTATGTTACTCTCTTGCAACTCATAATCTATTCTTCGGCACTTATATGGCCTTATTGTGTTGCAAGTGTCGTAAAACTCTTACTAAAACAAAATCACAGAAAGTGGCTGGTGGTTACTCGCGTGTTTGGTACAGCTGAGATTGCTAACATGGTCGCTTATTGTCGAGTAAAAAAGTGGTGAACTTAAACAGGTGGATGTCTACATAGTGTCATTATGTTGTAAAAAATCCAATGGGAGGAAATAGTATGTGGCCGTTTGTACAGGTTATTTTAATTTACAATTGGCTGTTGGAGTTACCTCTGTATTTGTGGGGGCTCAGATATGTGAGTTTTGAGTTCAGAATGTCAATTTGGACAGAATTCAGGCTTGGTAGAAAAGTTACAATTTTAATTTGCTTTCACTCGCACACAAATGCACGCACGCACACTTGCATGTTGATACACACACACATAGAATTTTTGTCGCGTGACGCAGCACACTAGTGTGTTAACAGGGTGCTGGCATTTCTTTAGCTGTCTACACTTTGCCCGTGTAGCTTAAAGGCTCTCGGCAAAAATGGAATGAGAAATGCTGACGGTTTTACTATCTTGATATCTCAGGTGAGGACATGAAGGACATGGAGAACAACGCTGACTGGCAGTTTGTCACGCTAGGGGACCAGGTGAGTGGGCTCGAACCTCTTCTCTCTTCTCCTTGCTCCTCTGCCACAATGATAATAATTGTTGTAATGATAAAGATCACTTTTATAAACATCCACTTCCTATCGGCTCTCGGTCTAGGTGTTTCACAAACAGATAAAATTTTGATATTTCATTCATACCGGTCTCTTCATTTAACAACAATGTTGTCAAATACGTGTTGAATGCTCAGTGTCAGATTCCATCATACGTTACTTTTCAAATTGGGGGGGGGGGTTGTCTTACACTTGGCTGTCAGTGTACTCCCATATTTTACCGACAAACATTTTCTAACGAAGAAAACATTTACCAAAATGACATTCAATGTGGTTGCTGATCACACTTGTTGAAAGAAGAATCAAACTAACTGGTAAGGTAAAGTGAATGAATAAAAGAATGCGTCTTTTGACTACCCTTAAATGAGGTTATTGAGATTTGGGCCAGCTGCACTGATCATTTTCTGTTTTTGCAAAACATGTTGCCTGTTGTTGCTGCTTCAATATAAAGATATCAACAATGTAATGTGTTTTATGAAAATTTAGCTAAGTGTACACTAAGATAGACTGAAAGTTTGGAAAAGTTTTAATTTTTCTTCTGTCATTTTCATAAAACAGCGTGGGACATCTTAACAAACAAAAAAAACCCTACAAATCAGTTTTTGGCTGAAGTGCCTTCAAGTTGCTCTTGACCCTCGAGTTGGTCACTGAAGGGTTTTGTTGTGTAGCTGCCCAAGGCACTTGAAAAAAAATTACACTTCATCCTCGGGTATAGTTTGTTCTTTACTTATTTTACTTTACTTTTTCTTTCCTCTGGTATCCTTAGGATGTCGAGGGGATTTTGTTCTTGCTTGTCATAAAAATAAAGTGTGCGCGGTATTTGATTCGTCGCCAGCAAAACTTTGGCATCTGCACGGCGGGCCTGGAGGAGAAAGCCACGGCTTGCCAGATGTTGGTCTGCTACGCCCGGGAGCTCAAGGAAGGGTTTGCTGCGTACTCTGAGGACGTGGTCAAGATCATGGTGCCTCTGCTCAAGTTCTACTTCAACGACAGTATCCTTGACCTTGTCCTGGCTGGGTGGGTGGGTGGTGGGGAACTGAAATGGGAGTCGATAGTGCCGCAAAACACCTACTCAAACAAGCAAACAACTGCTTCAGTGGGTGATCAAAACTGAGTCGATAGTGCTGTAAAACACTTACTCTGGACAACTGTTGAATCCCTCTCAGCTCGTGAATTGTTAGTAGCTAGGAACCCTCTGACAAAACTCAGCGGTGCTACTAAAAGTGCTTAGATCGGTCCAACATTTCCCTTAACTCATACACCAGGCGTTCGCATCGCGGCCACGGAGAGTCTGCCGTATCTTCTGGACTGCGCCAAAATCCAGGGTGAGGAGTACCTGGCTAACATGTGGGGCCAGTACATCTGCCCAAACCTGCTCAAGGCCATCGAGATCGAGCCCGAGCAGTCAGTGCTGCCAGAGTACCTGGCTTCTTTCGCTAAGGTGGGCACACACATATTTTATTCAT